AATAATGTGAATGCCTTAAATGGAAATCACAAATCACCACAAACTTGGAAAAACTATGAGAGAGTATACTAACACTTAGTAATTTGCCACCACTATTACACACACACTAGTAGTCCTTTTCATGCGCCATAAGCTTGTTTATATAGTGTGCATGGTTAGGGTGAAACCCTAATAACCCATGCCTTTTCCTCTTCCAAGGATCCATGGGTTAAAAGCTCCATGGATCATCCATGGACTTCCATATTAGCTTAGCCCATTAACAAATAAGCATTAGCCCACACCATATAAATATGATAGCCCATGATTTAATTAGTCTTCCTTTTAATCACTAAATCAATTCATAATTAATTCAAGATTAAAACTAATTAAATAACATGAATTTATATTAATATATTATAACTTATAATATATTAATGGACCGCAAATATACTCTTCTCATAATATTATCCACATAAATAGTTCGGGTGAAGTGCAACCCAAATGGACCATGCCGGGTCGGGTCAAGTATATACCAAATAAGTTATGGACTTAGACACCTTATCCAACAGTGAGATCGCGTGTTAAGTGACCTACTCGTCGAGTCCAGGGAGGGACTCGACGAGTAAGAGCTGGCAGAGGAAACCCTAAATCTCGGGGTTTTGCACCCTATTTAAGGAAGCCTCAGCCTCCTTTGACCTCCTTACAGTCTTTGAGAGCTCAATGAAACCCTAATTCGTGTGGTACTCCTTGTGATGTGTTTTAGACCTTGGAAAGAAGATTGGCTTGGAGAGAAGAGCTTGAAGAGCAAAGGAGTTGAGGCAAGGAAGGTGTGGGAAACAGAACTTACCTCATCTAGCATCTTTTGGAGGTATCAAGTTGCAATCTTTACTTCCCTTTTCTTCTAGATCTCTTTGTGGTTGAGTTTTAGGGTTTTATGGATTTTTGGGAGTCATATTCGTGAGCTATGGGCTAGATCTGAAGTTGTAACTTCAGATCTGGACCCTTCTCAAGTTCTAGAATCATTAAGTTTTAGTTTTGGTCGTGGTCGAGGCCCTCCTTGTGCATGAAACCCCATTAAGAGCTTAGATTTGGCATTAAGAACATTTTTAGTCATGCATGCACGTAAAGTTTGCAACTTTACGTGAAAAGCATGTCCTAGAAGCTTAGATCTGTAATTTGGAGCCATTACATGGCTTAAGGACTGAAGGAACTCGACGAGTCGCAAGGTTGACTCGGCGAGTCATATGAAGATGGCCATTGAACTCGACGAGTTTAAGAACAACTCAGCGAGTCCGATGAAGATTTCCTTAGACTCGACGAGTTGTATGAACAACTCGGCGAGTCGGATGAGTTTTCCCCGATTTATGAATGTGTGTGTAGCTGACGTGTTGCAAGAAGGAAACTCGACGGGTGGTCTTAGGGTTTCGATCGAAAATCGTAAGAACTCGACGAGTCACCCGATGACTCGGCGAGTGGGAAAGAACTTCAAAGAACTCGGCGAGTAGCCGAGGGTACTCGGTGAGTTAAGGTCAACAGGGACTGTTGACCTAGACTGAGGACTTTGACTTTGACCTGAGGTTGACTGGTTGGTTTATGGAGTACTTATGAGGTTGAGGATTTATGAGTATGCTCGTACTATGGTAATAGGTGGAGGAGTCTTTGGCGAGTGATCCGAGAGTTGGGATTTATCTACCGAGTCGACATCTGCGATGTGAGTTATCCTCACTGTATCAAAAGGGTCTAAGGTACCAAGGCCGGCCCTTTAGTTGTTATGGTTATGATATGATGTATGCGATTATGATCTGATAGATTGGAATCAGGATAGACAGTATGTTATGTTTTATGATCCTTAGGGATTGGTATGTTAGTGACGTGCTGGGCCTGTGCTCTAGTTATGAGAGATTGCCATGATTCAAGATCCGTAAGATAAATATGTTTGATGTCTGTACATGCCAGTATATGTTAGTTATGCGCACATGATTATTTGTTTGTTGGTTGGGTTGAGGCGGTCCTGCTTTGTGCTGAAGGCCAACATACCCTATGAACGGTCGGGGAGACTGTGGGCCCACGTGGCGGTCGAGTCATGCCGAAGGCTCGGTATAGATTTAGTTAGACTGTAGGCCCTATAGGCGGTCCAGTCGGGCCGATGGCCCAATATTCATATTGATTGATTGATTATTACTGATATAATATTATCAGTGTGGTGTTGGTATTTTGGGGGTAGCTCACTAAGCCCTTGAGCTTACAGTTTTCAGTTATTGTTTCAGGTACTTCAGGAGACCGTGGCAAGGCGAAGGCGTGACCGTACCGCTCCTCATCCTTACGATCTGTTTTTGGGACACTCTGATGAATAATGATTTGAAAACAATTTGTAAACAAACACTATTTGGGTTTAAATTGTGATTGGAAAAGTTTAAATTTGGTGTAAAATTTATGGATGTTACAGTTCATATTTTTCGATGGAGATTCTACGTGAACTTAACCCTCAATTTTAGCCACTTAACCACCATTTTCTGGTAATTACTCAATGACAACTTTACCCTTTGCATTTGGAGACATGAAGTAAGTCAGTAAATTTGTCTTCCTATGCTCTGTGTACACCTCAATCAGCTTGTTATGTGCAATGTATTTAGAAAGGTTGATCACATCCTGATTATTCCCTAAAGCTCTAAGACCAAATTGAAAGCCATGATTGGGCATCCTAAAATGGTAGTATATCACTGGGGATTTATCAGCGAATTCAGAATTCTATGGGTCTGGATAACCTTGGTCAAGAATTATGGCATCAAGTTCATGTACAAAAAAACTCATCTATGTCCACATAATCAACATAACGCACTTCACCTCCAATATACTTTATATCAGGTAACTTAGTAAATTTCCCACCGTGATGAAGCTTAATACTAAACCATGTGGGTACACCCACTAAAAATCGAAATTGTACATATTAACAAAGTCAAAATTTTGCATTTTTTGTTCTAAATCAATAAGAAAATGAAAAATATGAAAGTTAAAAAAACAAAGCAACTTACCATATACGGCTGATTCATCAACAACTTCATGTTTTGGTCTGATATGCCGAATTACGAACACCATTTCGTATTAAACGTATGGCCTTGCAAGTATTGCATCGATTAACTTATTTGGATAAGGAACAAGGATTTTTTGCAGGTTCAATGGAGCAGAAGCAAGGAGGGAGTTGGAGAGTTGACGGGTGTTGGGAAAGTTAATGAGGGGTAAAGGTCAAATAAGCCAAAAACGGTTTATGCAAAAATGGTCCCTTACATATGAAATGACGGACTTACCCTCACGTGTGAGGCACATGAGGGGGTTAACAGATCCTTTTTAAAGGGAGTTAAGTCCGAGGACCAATTCCACATACAAACCACTCCAAAAGGAGCATGAATCCAAAAAACTTGGGGTTTGGACTAAAACCCCAAAAACTTGCATACCACAAAGGCCATTTTTGCAATTTTGTCAAAAAAAAATCACCATTCACATAAATTAAGTTTTTTTGAGAGGTATTATGACTAAATTGATGGTTATCTAATCATATATGTATTTGTTGCTTGGAATTTGGATATTTCTTTTTCATAAAAATTCTTACCTTATAATATAAAATGTAATATGAGAAAATACATAGAAAGAGATCTTAACTACCGAATCTGTATGAAATATACTCTAATAAGAGGAGTTTCGTATTAAATCTAATGTATGCCAATTAAATGCAATAAAAAAGACAATTATTCTAGCATATAATGAAATCCTACTTTCATAGAAAGTCTAAAATGAAAATCCCAAATTTAGAGTTCTTGTTCTTTGTGTATCGATTTATTAGTTAAGTTTAACCAATTTTTGAAAATAACCCACAAACTAAAGCATGTAAGTAACAAGTGTATATGGATGGACCATCTTTTAACATCAATTTCACGGATAACCTACATTGAGAATTGTCCTATAAAATTATTTATTGAAAACAAATACAACATTAATTAACTAGATTTAAAATATAAAGTTTTTAGGTTGCCTTAGTTGAGCACACAGCTGGAGAACGGCCACACATGGTGTTGGTGGTGGTTTTATTGATATTGGGGACATAAAAACTCTTGTCATATACAAGTGAAGCATGACTTAATTACAAGACTATATGTGTTCAACCCTTTGGAGATTTGCATAGAAACCATCACCTTCACATAAACCACATCTTTGAAGCTATCATAAAAATGAAAAAAGGCATGTCTCCAACGACGATTGAGAAATAGAGCACCACATGCAATCCAGAATCCAGTAACAAAGCCAGTGCCTCCACCAATATAGAACCACCCCCACAGTTCATTTGTGTATTCCCCACCATCGTCACTCCCACCAATGACATGTGGTACTTCTGATTCATCATCTCCATGACATTTTTTGGTAAGGGGAGGTCCATATAGTCTCGCGTTTCCATAGTATCTTGAAGCTTCGATGGACTGCAGTTGAGTGATGGATGAAATTCTCTATGACAAGCTATTATATGACACGTCTAGCTGATTTAAAAAGTTCATACTAGACATGCTTGATGGCATCTCTCCAGACAAGTTGTTTCTAGATAAATCCAAAGTTTCAAGTTGTTTCATTTGACCAATTGTTTTAGGAATCTATCCAAGTAGACTATTCTTTGACAAGTTGAGTGCATGAAGTACATAAAGCTTGGTAACTTCATATGGAATTGGCCCTGTTAAGTTGTTGCTTGACAACTCAATGCTCTTCAACAATCCCAGGGTACTGATGAGTTCACGTTCGTATCCTTTCCACTCAATCATCGCATGGTCAAAATACTTATCATCACGTTCACCATAGTGATAACCTCCAGAATAAAACAATTTAAGTGTATAGGAATGCACATTGTGTCGAGGTAGAAATCCTGCTTGAACCATGGTTGTAATATTATCCAAACACGTGGGGATTGTTCCATGGAGATTGTTCACTGACAAGTATAGAATTAGAATACCTTCTAGTTGACATAATTGTAAAGGGATGGTTCAGAAGAAGTTGTTTGATCTTAGGATAAGAACATGCAACCCAGATAGGTTTTCCCTAATCCAAGTAGGCACATTACTAAAAAACTTGTTGGCCCCCAAATTCAATGAGTTTAAGCTCGTGCAACTCTTTAAAGACAGAGGCAATTCTCTGGAGAAATTGTTCTTGTATAGATCCAAAGACTCGAGTTTAATCAAAGATCCAACAGAGGTAGGAAGCCTTCCAGATAGATTGTTGTGTTCTAGATTAAGAATTTTTAGTTCTTTGAAATGCCACAAACAATCTGGAAGTTGTCCGCTTAGAAGATTATAGGAGAGGTCAAGAACAACTAAAAACCCCAAGTCAATTTGGCATAAGAAGGAGATTCCACCATAGAATTTGTTTTTAGAAGGATGTAGTGATGTCAGAGTGGAAGAGACATTAGTTATCGGGCCATAAAATATGTTGGAACTCAAATCTATCATTGAAAGGTAGACACACTTCGATGATAAATCTGGTGCCTTCCCGCTGATGTTGTTGGAAGAGAGATTGAGATATGTTAATTGAGAAGGCTACATGTCCCAAAACCCCATAGGAATTGTGTCTGAAATTCCATTATTGGCAATATCAAGATATGAAAGATTTTTCAGAGTTTGAATCCATCTGGGGAAGTGAGGCCCTAGATTGCAAGATCTCATACCAAGAATGGAGAGCTTTTTAAATGTTAAGGTCTCATTTGAGAGTGTCCCTATCAATCGGTTATGTCTAACAAGTAACCTTTGTAATGTAAGCGATGCGCATACAGACAAGTTGTTGAGAAAATCAGGAAATTTGACAACAAAAGAGTTGTTATAGAAATACAAACTTTCCAAATTACAGAGGTTACCAAGATATTTGGGAATCCCATCTAACATGTTCTCAGAGAGATCAAGAATGCGAAGCTTATTGCTTGTTAATGGGAACAACCAACGTGAAACATCCCAACAATACGACCCAAAAATTTTTGTTTAAATTTTTACTAAAAACCATCTCATCAAATATCATACATACTAAGAACCATAAACTGAGTAACTCAAAAGTCATATAACTGTGTCAAAACAAATACTGTATCAATCATATCAAAATATCTGAATAAAACTCCCAGGAATAAACTGAAACTGTGGTGTGTGCCATGCCATCATCCCGAGCTCTTCCCTTTACTTGCGGAAGTACCTGAAACCAAAACTGAAAATTGTAAGCACAAAGCTTAGTGAGGTCCCCCAAACTACCACATACCATACAATACATATAAAGCAACTACTGGGCCTTGCCCACTGCATCGGACCGAAGTCCAGAAACTGCATCGGACCGAAGTCCGGAACTGACCAGGGCCTTGCCCTCTGCATCAGACCGAATTCTGGAAACTGCATCGGACCGAAGTCCGGAAGTAAGCAGGGTCTTGCCCTCTGCATCGGACCGAAGTCCGGAACTAACCAGGGCCTTGCCCTCTGCATCGGACCGAAATCCGGAAACTGCATCGGACCGAAGTCCAGAAACTGCATCGGACCGAAGTCCGGAACTCACCAGGGCCTTGCCCTCTACATCGGACCGAAATTCGGAAACTGCATCGGACAGAAGTCCGGAACTGACTGAACATAGCATAGCATAATCACAACTACTGGCATAAACACATATACTGCATACTGCATCGGACCGAAGTCCGGAACACATAACACAAAAACCATACTTGGATCACAAAGACATCAAGCACACTGAACTACTGCATCAGACCGAAGTCTGGAACTACTGCTAACTAAACGGGCCGGCATTGTGGCCGTAGACCCGTTCCTACTGGAAGGAAACTCACCTCGTAACGCTGGCTGTCGAGGTGCTAACTCTGAAACTGCCTGACCGCTGCTCCGGAACTCCCCGGCTAAAAATCCCATAAACACTAAATCGAATACTGATAACTAATCGCAGGGCAAAATGACTGTTTTACCCCCTGGTCAAAGTCAACTTCCTGGTCAAAGTCAACTTCCTGGTCAAAGTCAACATCCTGGTTGACCGGACTCGCCGAGTTGGCTCGCCAACTCGCCGAGTCCCTTTCATCTGTTCTAGTTCTATACTCGCTTCTACTCGTCGAGCTTGGCGAAGACTCGACGAGTTCTTCTTCGATGCATACATCGAGTCCAAGTTCATCCGACTCGCCGAGTTGAAGAACAACTCGTCGAGTTCACGGCTATCTTTATAGGACTCGGCGAGTCCAGCTTGCGACTCGCCGAGTTCATTCAGTCTCTTTTCCATACAGACCTTATTTGAGCCATGCAGCGGCTCCAAATCACAGATCTAGGCTTCTAGGGCATGCTTATCACGTAAAGTTGCAAACTTTACGTGCATGCATAGCTTTAAAGGCTTCAAATGTCAAAAATAATCTCTTAATGGGGTTCTAAGCTCAATAGGGACCTCAATCACGAACATAACTGAGACTTTACACTTCTATAAGGTAATGAGGGTCCAGATCTGAAGTGTAACCCGACCATAAGGTTTCTCTACAAAGGATTAGAGGTTTTTGGGCTTAAAAGCAACAATTTGGGGACAAGCAAGATCTAATAGATCAATAAGCAAGATGGAAACTTTATTACCAGAAAGGATGACCTCAAATGAATGTGTTCTGGATCTACTTAACCTTCCTTGAACTCTTCAGCCTCTTCCTTCTTCTACTTGCTCCAAAATGCACCAAAAGTTCCTTTACAAGGCAACAATCACTCACACACTCTTTAGGGAGGCTAGGGTTTGATAAGAAATGCTCTGAGAGTAGTGGGGGCGAAGTTGGGGCGCAATAAGACGTTTAAATAGGGTGCAAACCCTAAGGATTAGGGTTTCCTCCAGACTGGCCTACTCGCCGAGTCCAGGCGCGGACTCGCCGACTAGATCAGTTACAACCCGCGTCCAACCCGACATCTACTCGGCGAGTTAGGGCTACAACTCGCCGAGTAGCTCTTAAAGAAAAACATTTTGTAAATTAAATACGTACCAGGAACGGGGCGTTACAATTCTCCCCCACTTATCTTAGAATTCGTCCTCGAAGTCTGCTGTCTCTGGAAACAACTCTGGGTAGTGCTCCCTCATCTCCTCCTCCGCCTCCCGTGTCCATTCTGAACCCTTCCGGTGCCGCCACTGCACCTTCACTAACTGAACCACCTTGTTCCTCAAGGTCTTCGTCTTCCGATCTAAAATCGCGACTGGTCTCTCGATATAGTTCAGGCTGCTATCAACCTGAATATCCTCCAATGGTACCACTGGTGACTCATCCACCAAACACTTCCTTAACTGATAGACATGGAAAGTGTTGTGGGTCTGGCTAAGCTCTGCTGGAAGATCCAACCGATAGGCGACTCGACCCACCCGGGCCACAACCCTAAATGGACTAATGAACCTGGGGCCCAACTTGCCCCTCTTCCGAAACCTGATAACCCCCTTCCAGGGTGATACCTTCAGGAGGACCATATCGCCCACCTGAAACTCCAAATCCAAACGCCTCCTGTCATCGTAACTCTTCTGCCGACTTTGCGTAGTCTGCAGTCTGCTACAGACCTGCTGGATCAACTATGTGGTCTTGAATACCACCTCTGTACTCCCCATGACTCGCTGACCGACCTCACCCCAACCGATTGGGGTCCTACACTTCCTCCCGTAGAGCGTCACGAAGGGAGATCGGTCTATACTTGACTGGTAGCTGTTGATATACGAAAATTCCGCTAACGGAAGATACGTATCCCAACTGCCACCAAAATCTAGCACACATGACCGAAGCATGTCCTCGAGAGTCTGAATCGTCCTCTCGCTCTGTCCATCCATCTGAGGGTGGAAAGCAGTGCTAAAATGGAGACGAGGACCCATCTCGTCATGAAACCGCTTCCAAAATCTGGAAGTAAACCGGACATCTCGGTCTGACACCACCAAGACAGGCACTCCATGTCGTGCCACAACCTCGCGCATATAAATATCAGCTAGCTTCTCGGCCGATATACTCTCCTGAATCGGTATGAAATGCGCGCTCTTGGTCAGCCGATCCACTATGACCCAAATCGCGTCAACTCCACAGGCGGTCATGGGAAGCTTAGTGATGAAATCCATGGTGATATCCTCCCATTTCCACACGGGAATGTCTAACGGCTGCATTTTGCCGTGGGGTCTCTGATGCTCCGCCTTGACCTTCCTGCAGGTCAGGCATCTCTCAATGTACCAAGCCACGTCCCCCTTCATGCAGGGCCACCAATAGTCGGGTCGAAGATCCATGTACATCTTCGTCGCCCCTGGGTGGATGGAAAACCGAGACTTGTGGGCCTAATCCATCAGTACCTGTCGTACTCCTCCCCAGTACGGCACCCAAACTCTCCCATGAAGGGTCAACAATCCTCGACTGTCGTAGTCAAAGGAAGCTACTCGGCCCACGATCCTCCCACACTTCTGTCTCTCCTCCTTCAGGCCCTCAACCTGAGCCTCTTTGATCTGCTCCAATAATAGAGTAATCACCGTCATCCTCAGACAAATATCCCTGATCGGGGCGGCTACCACCTTGCGGCTCAGGGCGTCGGCCACTACGTTGGCCTTGTCCGGGTGATAAAGGATCTCACAGTCATAATACTTTACCACATCTAACCATCGGTGCTGCCTCATGTTCAAATTCGGCTGATCCATGAGGCACCTCAAACTCTTGTGATCTGTGTAAATGATACAGCGGACCCCATAGAGGTAATGTCTCCAAATCTTGAGGGCAAACACTACTGCCCCAAACTCTAAGTCATGTGTCGGATAGTTAGCCTCGTGAGGCTTCAACTGTCTAGAGGCGTATGCTATCACATGGCCTCGCTGCATCAACACTGCTCCCATACCTGTGATTGAAGCATCACAGTAGACTACAAAGTCCTCTACACCCTCTGGCAGGGTAAGAATCGGCGCCTCGCATAATCTATGTCTGAGGATCTCAAATGCTACCTGCTGCTCAGGCCCCCAGCGAAAAACCACCGACTTCTTGGTTAGTTGGGTGAGCGGAACTGCTATCTTGGAGAAATCCTGGATGAGTCTCATGTAGTATCCTGCTAATCCTAGGAAGCTCCAAAATCTCAGTTGGAGACCTCGGGACCTCCCACTGCATCACAACCACTATCTTGGCCGGATCTACTAGTATACCCTTCTGGTTGACGAGGTGTCCAAGGAACTGCACCTCACGCAACCAGAACTCGCACTTGGAGAACTTTGCAAAAAGTCTCTCCCTCCTCAGTGTCTCTAGCACCTCTCTCAGGTGCTCCTCATGCTGGTCCTGAGTCTTGGAATAAACCAAGATGTCATCAATGAACACTATCACAGACCGATCCAACATGGGTCTGCATACGCGATTCATGAGGTCCATGAACGCGGCTGGAGCGTTGGTGAGCCCAAATGGCATCACCACGAACTTATAATGACCATAGCGGGTCCTAAAAGCGGTCTTTTGCAGATCCTC